CTCCTCATCTGCCCCCGGACAGTACTCAATGGAGTACTCACCTGGACCCCAAGCTGACATTGTTTCCTCTTACTGCAGTTAAAGGATCAACAGCATTGGGTCCGCAGTGGGTCAGGCAAGCAGCTCATTAAGACCATCAGCTTAGAAGGTCACTGGGTCACTGATTCCATCACCCAGCAATTGTGACCCACCATGAAATACATGGTTAAGCCCAGACGGGTTCACAAAGATCATGTATTTATCATTGTCTGTGAGTTCAGAGGTGTCATTCTACTGTCTTACACAGCAGAATATATAGCAAACATATGCTAAGGTAATCAGGGGGAAAACAGATCTTCAGTGAAAACCCGGAAAATTCATCTAAGGATGTTTGCTTTTTCAATACTGATTTTAATAAGGGAAGAATTAATCCATAATCACAGAATAACTACAGAATAAACTCAATGCAAAAATAAAACATCCTGGAAAGAAAAAAGAATTGTCTTAAAGCTTACAACTACTCTGTGCTTGGGATATTTTTTATAAAGGAGAGCTAAAATGAAAAGCAGAGACAATGCTATTTAGATAGGGAAATCAGAATATCCGTACTGAGCAGATGCTTCTTATACTGTAGGTATTGTTAGAGGAACATCGGAAGAAATCACCTGACCTGTGATTAGAAACTTGGTTTTCATCCTACATAGTTAGATGAGATTGGAATTTGACAGTGAGTCCAAGACATCACACAGGAAGGAGCAATAGTATTTAGCTTTTATTTTCTGTGGCCAACTACAGCCAGTGGAGCACTGTACAGAAAAAAATCACAGAATCACTGTAGAGGGACAAATTTCAGTTGTGCAAGAGTGGTCAGTGGGACTTCCTGAAGTTAACTCCCTTTCTCTAGTCTTCCTTGAGGCAGATCTCAACAGGCAGTAGTTTTTTGCTTGAAGACAGTTGGAGCCAGAAAACCATCGCATCCAGCCATTTGATTAAAAAGTGGAGGGCTGTGTGCTGAGGTAGGCTACTCTTTTCTGAAACCACTCGCTGAAATCCTCTTCTGGCATCTGCACAATACTTTCACGTACAAACTGAAACAGAAAAAGGTTCTTTCCTGAGCTTTTGATTTATGCATAAGAGAGAGGTAACATGGGAAAAATATGACCATTGTGACAACAGAACAAATGCAATGGCTTCCACAAACAGTCACCAAAACATTTTAATGCAACTTTCAGAACAGATGGGTATGCTCTAAAATGGATTAAAATGGGAACTCTACAATCTTCATGGCAATTTAGATCTTGAATACTTCCAATTCAAGCCTTTGTATTTTAAACCTGCAGCTGTCTTCTGCCTACCACTGCAGTACACACATTAAAGCAACTTGTAGTTAAATAAGAACTTCATCTGGAATCTCTGTCAGTATCAGTCAGGTCATACTCAGTGATGGTGGTCTTAAGCCTAAAATGTGACAGTTTCTTTTATCTATTCCAGTCAGAAGGAGCACCAAGGTCCTTCTTCCTCTGTGGCTATTTTTGAAACAAGTATAAATAAGTAGATAGGACATTCAGTCATACTCACATTTTTATCTATTACAATCACACTAATTTGAGGGATCACAATGCAAAAGGAACAGAATGGAAACAGCCAAGACATAGATCTAAAACTGGCAAGCAGCAGACATATATTGAACATTAAGGCAAGGCTGCCTCTCTGGTAGACTACGCAAATTAAGGCACAAACCAATATGGCTATTTTTAAAAGACATCTGAAAATACAGCGTGACCTTGACATGTTGTCTGCTAAACCTTTGCCTTTGTAAGGCATGATAACTCTCGATAGATGTAAGATGCACAGTCACCTGCTGCCTCTCAGAGATTTCTGGTAGTCTTGTGTATTACGGGAAAAACTGTGATGAGAATAAAAAACACAAGGTGGCATCATTGCCATTTTTTGTGAGCGAGTTACCTGGTTAGACTACATCGTAGTATACATTCTAAATGTGTTCGCTTCCCTTTCTTGTGTCCTTCCTCTTCTATCAGTTGCTCTGAGAACTACAAGAGTTGAGCCCAACTTAAGGTCTTGAGAAGGAAGTGGGTTTTTTAATGTTGCTGAAGCAAAACAAAGATATCTGCAGAGTTCCTGGATCGGTGATGTAATACATTAATGGAATAGCTCATGGTTCTCTTCAAGTGTCCTAACAAATTATGACAGATGCCTTTCACTGTGGTGGTAAATAAATTAACGACATAATAATAAAATGATACTGATTAATAATCTAATGCTTGTCATGTCTGTCTTCTGAGGAGTTTGAAGTGCCTTGTGAAACGTGAACAGTAGCATCATTTAGTGAGATCCTAAATGATTGCATCTGTAGCTTTCCACTGCATGAATTTCACCCATAGGTGCCTGCTTCTCCCCACCCTCATCACACAAAGAATCAAGAACTGGACTCATCTCACCTCCACAGCTGCAGCAATTTCTGGACAACACAGCTCCCCCACCTGTAGATCAGCCAGAACCTTAAGAAAGGTCTCTGGGTGAATTTTGAAGTCAGGAGACTTGCCATATTTTTCCAGTTTCTTCAAGATTTTCTTTACATAACAATCACTCTTCACAGACTCTGGGAGTCTGGCAAGCAATACAGGAAACCTTTAGTAGAAAGAACAAGAGCAATAAAAGAGAAGCAATGGAAACAAATGCACATCTGATTAATAACTCTGGGTTTGCCTGGCATTTCTGGAACTTCACCCCCTCCATAACTTCCACAGAAAAAAATGGCTCTTTGGAGAATGCAATACTCAGTGTAATTCTGAGTGAATAATGCGAAAAAGCTTTACTTTATTGGACTTGTGCACCACTTCTCTTTGGAGGGCATTGAAATAGATGCTTCTTCATTGTTAATTTAAATTTTGGATGACAAACTTGGGTATGAAAGCAAATAATAAAAACCTAACAAATGCTTTCATTTTACTACAGATTTTTCCTCTTCATCTTTTCTCTATATATTTTGTTTAGCCTCTATGGATTTTCCAGTCCCTGATCTGACACTTTCTGATTCTCTTTACTATCCCTTTTCTCTGTGCTATCATCATTCTCCCCTCTCTATGTGCTGACATAAATCTCACTGATATAAGTGCACGGTAACATGCAGTCTTTACCATTTCACTCTGAACAAAGAGGTTCAGAAGGAGAATTACACATTACAATAAAAATAAAACTCTTGTGAAAAGATTGCCTTTTTTCTTAATGTTCTGTGTAAATTTTGCAGTGCTGCTTAGACAGTCCTGAAGACTGATGTTCCAAGCTTTTCTAGGCTGTGCATATGACTGGTGTGTGCTGTGGCTTTCATTGCATCAGCAGAAGTGCTGCCTCCTCAGTTTAGGATACATGTTACTGAGACAGCAGAAGAAAGGTGAAGAATTTCCTCCTTAAACCAGTGAAAAGGGAAACATGTAGTTTCTCATCTTCAGTAGGGCCAGTTCTACACTCAGTAGTGCACTGCTGATATGGCTGTATAGCCAACTCATTATCACTGGCTAGATTATCCAGGTTACAGTAATCCTGTCACACACTGGCCTTTTATAACCCAACCATGCATTAAGATACTTTATGTGAGAAAGGAAGCTATGTTTAGTGTACTCTTAAACCACACTGTTCATATTTTATGTGATTTTTGGTTTTTTTCTCATTTCATGAGAGAGGTAGAACAACTAGAGTGAAAGCATACACTAGTAAAGTGCTCCTACTGTGATTCAGCTTTCTTGGCAAGGCAGTGTTTGCAAGAGTATGGGAAAAAACAGCCCTACTGTAAATGAAACAAGTGGTACCGTGAAAGCAATTCTCTGTCATGACTTTGTGTCTTCAGGAGGCGCATGACTACCCCTATCAGATATTGCACTCTCCATATCCCTCATGGATGGCACTTTGCAGAACAGGCCTGGCACAGAAAGCCATATTCATCTAGCTGTGCTGGCAAAGTCAAAGCAAGACAGGCTCCTCGCTATGGAAGCATGATTTTCATATAAAGGAGCAGCAGACTTGTAGTACTGTTCTTGCACAGGGAGAAACGTAAAAAGTCATATTGATACAGTCTCCTTTATACTCATAGAGCTTTGTTCAAATTAGGGCTTCTTCTAGTAGAACTATAAGTATAAAAACCAAAACCATGTCTGCCTCAGTTTCAGGGCTTATTCACATGCCAGATCTTAAATCTGGGGGACAGGTGGAGCATATATGCTTGACAATTAATACCAGAGTTCTGCTAGGTAGGCCAAGACTAGGTTTATTCATTAATGTATGACTGATGTGTTCCTGGGCCACACCTGCATTTTGGACCTGAGATTAGAAATGGACTTCTCATTATCTCAAATGATGAAGGATAGGCGGCTTAATAGCAAGGAGAACAAAAGAGGGCAAGCTGCAGGGGGAAAAAAAAGAACAAAAAAAAAAGCTTTCCATGCAGTTTGCATACTCTGTAATCCCATGTCCAATGAGTTCTCATGGACAGGGAAAATGCTGTGAGCTTGCTGAGGTATTCTGGTGGGCTATGTCTGGTGTGTATGTGGAAGCTGATCACTGGATACAGCTAATACACTTTCAAACATAAAACACTAGTAATCTGCAGAATTGCTGTATTGGGAAGCATTTAGGTGATGACTCTAATTGCCCTTGTAAAAGTTGCAGTATTATCCATGTGCAGTTCATAAACATTGGCAGGGAAATATTTTTCTTTTCGACATGAATGGACAGCTAGAGTCAAAGCCTCCTTTGCAATCAGTTTTAATACTGTGAATGTTTAGTTCAGTAAAAAAATGTGACTCTCACTCATGTACATTTATACAGTATCTTTCATCTTTGGGGTACAGTGGCTTTTACATACTTCCTGGCAGAAGTAGTCTATAAAGCTGCGTGCTGGGGAGGGTATGCGAATGCAAGGACTGGGTGCTTTTGCCCAGTTTCATTAGACAGAACCTCTACCTTATCGCTCTTTCTTACCATGTTCAATTAACATATTAGCTGAGCAGGCAGAGATCTGCTCCTAGAGATCATATTTGTATTTCTGTTGCCCCAAGTTTGAAATTCCTGCATTGCCAGCAACTGATTCAATGGTTTCTAGTGATGCTTTGCTTTGGGTAGGAAAAGAAAGGAAAAATCATCTTTCTGTACTCAAGACAGAACTCTAGGACCCTGGTAATCTCGTTTGAACTGAGGGTTTCTGTGCCTCCTTACCAGTTTTGTCCATCTTCATTACGTTTCATTTCAGTGCTCATGCCCAGCCGTCTTATTATTTTCATGTCGCTTCTAAAATGCTTCAGTTGTTTCAAAGCCTCGTATTTTTTACGACATCGTTCTTCCTGACTCCTACAAGAAATCTTGAAAGTTAAAGCTGTGTTTTAAACATTACCATACTTCTGCATAGTTAACTGGGAAGTATACTAAGGAAGGCAGAAAACAATCAATACATGTTCATTACACATTGTATGTTCAGTCTGTAGACACTAATAACTATTTCTGCTTTTGCAGAATTCTGTATACATTCATATTTCCACAAACATACTAGAAAGGGTTTATATTTTTATATCAACTCTAGGCTTCAGAATCAAAACATTTAAACTGAAATTCAACCTCCACTTTCTATCCACTGCTTAAAAACAAACAGAACACTGCACAGTGATTTAAGGTAAAATATTGTTTAAAATACAACAGAAGAGAGGTGGAATAGAGTGACCTGAGCTAGAATTTCCACCCAGAGATTGGGCTTGTGCATGCAATCCTACAAAAAGTACTACTGTGTTTTAACAAAAATACACATCTGCTTTTCTTTCCAATAAATTACTTATACTATATCCTGCCAAACTGAGAATTCATCTCCAAATGCTGATCAAACAGAATATGCTTGTATGAATGTATGGAGAATGCAAGTAAAATAGCTGCAAGTAGCAAGTCTCCATCCGACTTGACCTTCTGTACTGCAGGATGCTGGAATGATTAGTTCCTTACATAGTCACAGCAGCTGCTCAGGGAAGAAAACAAGGACCCAGCTCCAGATAAGGAAAGTTCTGGGAACAAAATAATCTAAGTACAGAATAGAAGAGAAGAATGGAAAGAAGAAGGAACTGAGAGGAGCAAGAAATTGTGCCTAAACCACCCTTCAGAACAGCAATGCAGAGAAAGATCTCAGGTCTGATACTTACTGACAAAAAACATTTGCACAAACATCACAGATTAATGTTTCTGGGTGAAAGGAAAAGGATGACAGGCTTTGGCTGGTTAACAAGGTAGAAATATCACTGCTCTAAGAAAAGGCCTTGAGAGAGGACATTGCAGCTGTTACTATGAGAAGAGTCAAATTAATGTTAAAGAACAAATACAGAGATCTCCGAACTGAAAACACAAGACAGCCATATGGATTGTAGGTGGACTGAATTTATCAATCTGTCTTTGGGTGAAAAGTGCTATGGTGTCCGAAGTGAACATATCCAATGTTTTTAGCAAAACTATTTCCAGAAAAGTCATTCAGAAATATCCCAACACACTGCTATAAATATTTAACTTCTAATATTTAACTTGTAATATATTTTTGTATAGTCACTAAACTTTCTATTATCGTGCCTATAGTCTTCTTTTCACATCAATCCATATAAATGTATCTTTAAAAGCCTTGAAAACAAGTCCTAAACATAGTTAGTGTAACCTGATAGACTGGGTAATACAAGAAATATTCTTATACATGTGTATTGACTAACTTTAGCCAGGAAGAAGCTGCATAAGGATGACAGGATTTTAGTTTATCTGGGGCCCACTTTGCCGACTCTGCCTTGCAAGACAGAGGCATAGATAAGAAGTTACTGAATCACCCTACTCAGACCAACTTGACCAGTTAGGCCTTGTGAAAACAGATGCACAAGAACCTAAAAGATAAGAAGACTCCATGAAAGACACAGCTTAATTAGTTCCCGGAAATGTAATGCATATGTAAAATTTTACTGGAAATGTCATGAATATGTACGTGTAAGGCACATATAAGCTACTGCCAACCACTACTATTTGGGGCATTCTTTTCTGAAATGATTCATGTTTGCTCCCAGCACTGAATTAAAGAATGTCTTGCTTTCTAACTCCTACAAAATGGTCTTTAAAAAGTTATTGATCCGATATTTCGGTAAAATTCGAAGCAAGGTGTGTAGTATCTTAAGACTACATAGAAAACAATCTATTCTTACCTCTCAAGGCTCTCTAGGGTATCATGTAAACACCTAGCTGCTTCTTCATTTATCGCTGTGAACTTTCGCCTCATATCGGCACACAAGTTAGATTTGGTTTCAATGAAAGAGCCAATACAGCAGCTGCCACTGAAACAACACAGAAAGCTGGAATTAACATCTTGTGGTAAACATTTTGTGATAAGCACCCGTGTTGCTCAGAATATAGTGATGCTAGCCCATGTAAATATTGAGATCTCCTTATTCATACATTCAAATATATGAAATAATTTGGTGAATTTTAAAAAAATTATAAATTTTCATGCCAGTCATATTGTTCCAGGAACGTGCCTTCGCATTGCATTGAAATATACTGCAAAGTTTCACTGGCCTGCTGTGGTCTCATGTAATAAAATGCTCTCTGACATTTGCAGACCAAATGCTTTCCACACAGAGCACTGAGTTTGTACAGCATATAATGTGCTTCAGAAGCAGATTTGTACCCTTACCCTTGCATTTTGAGCCTCTGCTTCTTTGATATTGTACTCTCTTGGTCCTTAATGTTTACTCAGTATTTCTTCTGAGCCAATAAACTATGAGACACCACAAGGTTTAAAACAGTATACAGAATGCCTTCTCCAGATTGTGAAAACCTCCGCATGTAGTGATAAAACATTCTTAATATTACACACTTGCTGGAGCTACCCAGGTACAAAATTTATTTCTCTTGACCTCAACTCAAGGGTAAAAAGGCTTTAGCAAAGTCTAATTGTAAGAATGCTTTGTCATGTTCATCTTAGAGCTGTGGAAACCACCACAAAACTGACTAATGAGGGAACACATCTAATGTAAGCTTAACTGGAAACGTTATAAAGAGACTGCTGAAAAATGCAATGGTAGAAACAGAAACAAGGGGTAGGATGAAACATCGCTTTTTTCTACAAAGCTGCTGGAGCAGAAGGTCTCTTCTGTTTGCAAAGGCAAGCTTCATGGGCTATTTTCCAGAAAACACCTACTGCCTGCACAGCAGTAAAATGGGTTATTCTGCCACCCACGCCCAAAAATGTAACTGTCATCTGAATTCACTGAATGCTGACTTCAGTTGTTCGGGGTGGTGGGGGGGTAGTGGGGTGGGAAGCAAAAACAAAGAAAAAAGAATGAGCTCTGTCCTGATCAGTTGCTTCTCCTAGTTATTCAGATACCCATCAGTTAACGTACCTCTGCAGTACAGGCTGCACCTTATCTTCTTGTTTATGGACATCTTTTGACACCTTTCCATGTTTTTTCTGGATGCCTTTCTGTAGGGCTGATAGAAAAAAATTCTATAAAAACATGCAAGCTCAATAGTACATTCCTCTCTTCCTTGCAGAGAGGACGCCATGCATGCTGGCCTGAATGAGACTTCCAAAAGAAACCTGCTATTTAATATTTCTAAAAATTAAGGTTTCTTCAGAAGAAGCAGCTTTTTCAAGAGGTTTCAAAATAGGTTCCCAAATACAAATGCACCCCATTCATTAATCACTTTTGAAAACATAAGCGTTGTTCTTTCAGCTGTGAAAAAAATACCACCATCAAGTAGAAGATATTAAATACTTTCTTACATTGGATGCTTATAAAAATACTGTTTCAGAAAAACAGACAGATTTGAACAAATTACGCAGGAAGTCTCTTTCAGTTCCTGTATTGTGTTGTTAGCATTCTACTGGCATAACCGTCAAGCTTTCTGAATTTCTAAGGCTACTGTATCACTTTGCCATTCTTCTTTTAACTGTCATACAGATTTTAATATGTTTAACATCAACAGGTATCTAATTACCTCTCTGTGTCTCCTAATCAGCATCCACTAAAACTTAAAACACATCCTTAAGTAGTAGCAATTTGTTGGTTATAGTTTCCAGATTATTCACCTTTGAGCAGATCTCTCTTACTAATAACACTTTCTACTCTCTTTCTGCCTTCCATTGCAATGGGAATGCTTATATTCTCCTCTCCCTTGAATACCTGGAAAACCAATTTAACTCACTGTTTTCCTTCAAATTGACATCTTTGTTTTCCTTCCCACTGCTGTTTCATTTCTGCTTTGATGTCAAACCCCTGGAGAGACACAGAGCCGGCCATCTTCTCTGCATTATTCCCTCCAATCGCCCATGCATTAAGACAACTGTCACGCTTGTTATTAAAAATCCCAGTGTTAGCAGTCAAACTCTGTGTCATCCTCTGAGGTGCTCGATATGCCCTACATGGAGATAAGTGACATTTTACCGAGCACTCAACACCTTGAAGTTGTAGTTCTCAAATTCAAAAGATCCTTTTCCTACATTTTTGTGAAGCCCCGCACATGTTGCAGTATAACAGAAAATGGCTGCTGAATGGTGACTGTGTTAAATAGCAGCACAAAGTATTTCTGCTTGTTATAAGTACAGAGCATTACACTGTGAATTTAGAAATGTAAGACATGGATGGAACAAGTTGTCAGGCACCAGCTAATGGGCTAAATTTTTAAGTATGATACTTATAATGAAGATCCTCTATTAGCTGTGGCCAGGTGAGTTTCAGGAGTGCCAAGGTCCCAGTCAGATACTCCTGAGTTCCAGTAGTGATGGCTTCACTGTGACCCTTACTAGTCTCAAAGTGTAAGCCTGTAGGATGCTGGCTACACCACTGAACCTTCTAGAGCTGAGGAACAGTTTGAATACAAAGGCTGACCCTCGCAGGGTCTGGAACCTGACATCCATATGGGCAGGGAGCCTCTGCTCAAACTGAGCTGAGGCTGCATGTAAATCTCATCTGTTCTTGGCATGCAGTGTCTGAATCCTTCTTAGAAGAACCCAGTCCTTTTTATTTATGGTTACCATTTGGGGAGATTGAGTAGCTGGATATCTGAAAGCCATCTACTCTGCAGATAGACTAAGTTGTGACTGAATTTGATGTTTTCTCCAAGTTCAGTTGAGTTGTCTAAAGCCAATCCTGAAAGCAGTCTTGTTGGCAGATTTTGGTGAGAGATTACAAGAAAGCAGGGCTAATACCACAAAGACACAGCTCCTCCTTTTGGCTGATCAACGGAAACAGAGGGCACAACCTCTCTGCCCTCTGTTTTGTACCATTAGAACCTGTTCAAATCCTCCACCTGGAGAAACTGGGAAAACAAATACTCAAGCTTGTCCATATTTGTAATATTTTTGAAATATTAACCTCCATAGCTGTGAGCTAGTCAGACATTAATTAGAAGAGAGAAAAACAGCTAAGAAGAATGCAGTAATTTCACTTGACCTTGATTTCTGTACCTTAATTAATCATCTGTGAAATGGAGTACCAATACTTACGTATTTTGCAGGGATCTAACAATGCTAAATCAACAGAAAAGACATTGATCAGTCCCAAAGAAAAGCCCAAAATCCTGATATAAGTTTTATAGTGAAGATCCTTTGCACAAATATTTACACCTCCCCTTTGAAAAGGATGTTTTTGACTGAGAATTCAAAGCTGAACTGCTGGCTGGAAAGCTTTGGGTATAAAATCCAGGTAGCATTTAATCTCTCAGATACAGGTCTCACATTTTACTTCTCAGTGTCATTTGAGCTGATCTGCAGACACACATACTTCATTACACAGTAACCATGAAAAATCAGGCTTACATTTAGTACTTTTAGATCATATAGTCTCTAGTCTCTGTCTGCACATAAATATTATTTAAAAATGTGGTGAAGGAAGAAAGCTTAGAACACTAATCTGCTTTGTAAAACCTCCTGACTGAGTAGATGGGGACTGAGTGATAAATGAGACTGCCTCAGGAGTAACCTGTTGTTATACCACAGCTGCAAGGACTGCAGCTTCCACATTTACCCTTGTCAACATGATGTAACATTTAAACTTCTGGACTAGTGCAGGTCCTCACAGCCAACAGCCAGAAAAAACCAAATCTGTATAAACAGACATTCTACAGCAGCAGTCCCCAAACAACAGCATCTAAATTACAGTTGGACAAAAGCCTTTACATTGAGTTAGGAATTATTTCCTTAAAATAAATCTTTCTGTAAGATTCACACTCAGCTGTATCCACCATTTAGCTGCCTAGTGCAGAATCTCTTTCCCACTTCTGAAATATACAAGTGTGCATGTGCGTTAGTTGTGTGTGGTCTCAAAATTATGTCTGTATGAATGACATGAGGCTCTGTCAATTTGGGGTATAAGGCTACAGGGCAGCTGTACTTGTAATCCATTTCTGATTTGTCCATGAAGCATCCCATAATCAGAATCCAGGATTAAACAGGATTCTAGCAGCTTCAGAATTCATTACAGAATCCAACCTTTGCTACAGAGCTTCCCTGCAGAAACTAACTTCCCATATTTTCTAGAGGTAGGAATATAATCCTTGAAAGGACCAGACTGGTAAATCAGGCCAGTCCCCTGAAATCACAGGCGATGATGTGACATATGTTGTTCCAAAAGGGACACTGAACATCCTTCCCAGATATCACACATACCGCAAGCTATTTAGCATAGTAAATGGAGGCTCCCAGCTTTTACAGCTCTCAAGATTATTTTCAAATCTCATCTCACACAAGACCCAATAGTTCACCTAAATCTGTAAACAAATTGCTCGAAATTACAGCTTTGAATTCTCTACTACTCCCATTCATATCAAAGGAAGGCCGTTAATCTGTGCTCAGTGACACAGACAGCAGCAGCTGTGCAGGTAGTATATGATATTAGCACAAGCTTCCTGATATATCCGCCTGACTTCAGGCAGTCTAAACCTAAAGGTCTTTCAGACCCAGAATGTGTCCATTCCTTTACATTTAAGAGCAATTAATTGTTTTTTCTTCAAGTCATTTAATTGTTTTTCGAACTTGAATATACTTCCAGAAATATATTGCAGCAATGAATGCCTAAGTATAAGCACGAATTGCATAAAAACACTTTCCATTGCTTTAAATTTTCTGTCAGATAATTTAATTTGGTGTCCTATAAATCTGGTGTTAAGAGAACTCGTGAATAACCACTTTCTAATCACTCTTTTCCATGTACTTCATGACATTACATCTGTCACAACCTTGTATTCAGCCATTTCTCTTCTGCACTGAAGAGCCCTAGTCTAATTAATTCTCCTATGGAAGCTATTCTGTATAGCTGATATACCTCATCCACTTCTTTTCCCAAACTTTCAGGTTCTTTTTGCCTTTTTGATACCTACTGAACATTCACAGAACTATCCCAAATTACTCCAAGAGTTGCTTCCTGAGTGGTAGTTTAGAGTATAGCAGAGAATGATGGCAACCTAATAATGATAATATAAATATAAATTAAAAGATCATTAGCAGTATTAAATGCTAATGTGCTTTTCTAGTCTAGCTGTACGTAGAAGGAAAAGACTTAAGATTACCTAGCTTTGTACTGAAATGCATTGCAGAGCTAACATATAAACTGTTTTGTCAGGTCTATGAAGCACAGGTATTCACTGATGAGAGGAATGCAGAGTAAAAAAATCCCAAGTTAAACAGAACGCCCTAAGTCAGACAGATTCAGTGGGTCAGTAGGTTATGGCAGAGAACAATTTCACTGTTTACATCTCCAGTTGAACCGTACAGATGTAGATGACAGTCTGATTATACAACTGCTGTAACTAAACAGTAATTAAAACTCTTAATAATCACATGGGATTATTATTGTCTTTAAGCCAATTTGCTAATGGGGAGGGCACAGAGAGACTTGTCTGAAGTTTCTGAAGTTCCATATGGCTCAAGAGAAATACACTGGTACATCCAGCAGTGTCTTTGACGTAGGTTCTCCCTAGCAACACTGAAAGAAAATCCATTTGATATCGGCAGTCAAGAAAAAGTAACTTACAGGGGAAAAGAGGCTGTTGTTCTTTAGTTTGCGCTGACTCACTCATAACACCAGGTGAAGCTACATTACTCTTGATGTCATCTTCAGAGCTAAGTACAGTGGAAGTTATGCTGACACGAGAGGTTTGACCATGGGGAGACAACTGACTGCTAAGCTGAGAGAAGCCTGGAGTAGGTGTCCTGCTTATCTTCCTGCTAAGTGGCCTGTACCGTGGTTTCCAGTTCCCTTTCTGAACATAGAAGAAAAAAAATATTAGAAAGGAAGGGGTTTCTATAGCTATTTTACCATTTTAACTAATTCCAATATTAGATCCTTCTGGGTCTTCTGTAACCTCCCAGATTTTTCTCCGGTAACTTCAAACAAGGTAGTAATTTCTTGCGTAGGACCTCTCTTGTTTTGTTATCTTTCTTCAATACTTCTCTGCTATAGCATTAATGCCAACAGATTAAGCTAATTTGTAAACAAGTAACACTGCAGCTGCAGAGAAAGTTGATAATAAAGCAACCTTCTCATGTACAGGGAAGAATAGATCAAAGTGGTTTGATAAATGTTCAGGTCTCCTCCCAACACTCAATAACGTGGCATCTGAATTTCCTGTGTCAGGAATGTAAAACTGAGGTCTGAAAGCAGATCGAATTCTGCAGGCTTGATAATCAGAACAACATGTATTATAAAGCAAGTGCCTCTGAAGGAACTCAGTATTTTCACTAGAAGTTCCATATCAAACCTGAAAAGCAATGTTAAAGCAATATTAGTGCAAATTATAAAAGAGACATTGTCATTAGTTCAGGGAGGAAAACAGTAAGTCTCACCAATGTAAACGCTAAAAGACACATCAAGACTGACATGCACTTTCATTTCTTCTGCTCATGTTCATTTGGACCTGGCTTTAGAGAACTGGTAAGACAGTATGGAAAAATCAGAAAGCCTCCTATTTAGAAACAACTCTGTTATTTATGTGACTTGCTGGCTTTCCCTCTCTGTTTGCTAACAGCAGGAAGAATATTTGCATAAAACACAATCTTTGCCTTTCAAAAGTTTCACACCTTTTTTTGCTTATTCCCCAACAGAAATCACAGTCTTCCATGGAATCATTTTAATTAGGTCATGAGGGTACAAGTGGCAGGTGTTGACAAATAACAAGACCAAATAGCCTGCATGTAACAGCTCGTATTTCTAAGAGTGCCTCACGTGGGGTTCTAAAAGCACTTCACAAAACTTGTTTAGTTTAGCCTTATAGGAGGCAAAGCAAGGAACTAAGAGCTTAAGCAAATGGCTTAAGATCAACATGTGATAAAGAGTGAGAAACGTACTGGTTCTTTATTGTGTTCTCCTAGTTATACCCCTAAGCATCACTCATTCCCCCTTTATTTTCCTCCAGTCACTTCAGCAGTTTCAAAAAGAAGACTTTCTGTGGTTTCAGAAAGATAGTAAAACCAAGTGTTATGGATAATTTTCTAGTGCTTAATTTCCTCTCAGTTATTAACTTTATTTTACTTTTAAAATAAATATTTTTTTTTCACCTGAATTACTTGTTTTCTCCTTTCCTTGGGTCTGCTTTGAATGTGGAAAGTGAATCCTGCTTTCTTTAAAGGCATACACATTTGGAAGTTGTTTCCAAATTTAGCTTTAAATTCTGTGTAAAAGGGCAACCAAGCAAATTGTGACTAGAGGTTACTAGAATAAGGCCTCAAGGATACCAGTCTGAAATCCCCATTTAACTGAATAAGTCCTATTTGTGTGAACGAGTACTGCTACATTACTCTGGGCCATAAAAGGGCAAATGCAAACAAGAAGCTAGTTATGTTTTAGCTAAATATCGCATTCTTCCCACATTAGTACTTATCACTAAGAGCAAGCCACAGTTTCAATCAGCTGTATACTGCTCTTCCTACTACCTTGTATCAAATTGTTATTCTTCAAAACCTAGAGAGACAAGTACAGTCACAAGATCCACAGCATAATTTGTGATATCAGGGAGTTCAATTAAGCAACAAATCAAATGCTTTAAAAACGTGAGATCAGGTCCAAAGGCAGGCATTATCAATGAAGTTACCTTTGTGTTTGTAATAAAGAACTCCCACGTATATTTTGCTAACTTTTCCTCTTCGATTTCTTTCACTGTTTTTTTACAGCCACCAGGGTTCCTAAGTGAAAACAATTTAATTAGTTTTCAATTTTGAGAGTCTTGCTTTTATTATAAGTTCTTTTAAGGAATGCAATAAATGGAGAGAAAATGGTGGAAGACCACTACTATGATGTATGCCTTTGCTTATAAGAAATGGAAAGACAATGCAAGGCGTATAAGGCATAAGCACATTATAGTCACAAGAGAAAAAGAACCTAAAGAAAGCACATTCACAAACCGCCATTCATGTACTGGGCCAGATTATGCTCTCACCTTCCTCTGTACAAGTACTGAAGAATTTTGTCCAGTGTAGCAGGATTTCATGGATAAAAATGACACCAGATTCATACAAATTTAATTTTTCTGTGCTGTTGGCTGTGAGGACCTGCACTAGTCCAGAAGTTTAAATGTTACATCATGTTGACAAGGGTAAATGTGGAAGCTGCAGTCCTTGCAGCTGTGGTATAACAACAGGTTACTCCTGAGGCAGTCTCATTTATCACTCAGTCCCCATCTACTCAGTCAGGAGGTTTTACAAAGCAGATTAGTGTTCTAAGCTTTCTTCCTTCACCACATTTTTAAATAATATTTTTGTGCAGCCAGAGACTATATGATCTAAATGTAAGCCTGATTTTTCATGGTTACTGTGTAATGAAATATGTGTGTCTGCAGATCAGTTCAAATGACGTTGAAGGAGAGGAGTGGTGGTTAGAGACAGCAACAGAGAGCAGACAGAGGTATGCAACAAGAGATTGCCCCACTGCAGAACATGAAAATGTATCCAGAGTGTTATGCATTTATACTCTGTTGTCAGCCTGTATCTGTGAGACTTGCTGACAAACTCTTTTATCCCAGTTTATTGGTTGGTTCTCATATGTAAAGGGGTGAAAAACCCATCCACTATACATACTACGAGGGGAAGGCTGTGGACGTTGTCTGCCT